CGTCCTCCAGCCTCAACAGCCTCCTCCATGCTAACGGAAGGAAACAACCCACCGTCAACAACAACAACCCGAAATGTGTTATTTACAAAATAGACTGTGATTGTGGACAATGCTACATAGGTGAAACATCCCGACCCATCAACACCCGAGTCAAAGAACATCGCACCTCTGTTGCTAATTCCGACACCAAATCAGCTATCTCTGACCACATCAAAGCCAACCCCAATCATCAAATAGAGTGGTCCGACATCACCATTCTCGCCAACAACCAAACGGACTTCACTAAACGCAAGCTCACAGAAGCCATTCACATCAAACGCCACAAGCCTACCATCAACCGTGACCAAGGATACTTCATTCCATCTGCTTATGATCCACTCCTCCACCAAGCCCAGTCTATTGTATAAACATCGCATCCATTGTATAAACATCTCATTGTAACTACATCTCTGGCTTCCATTCACTATCCTTTATGTACTTACTGGCTTCATCAGCTTACTGCTTAGCCAATCATGGCAATTATGTTGTTTCCTTTGTCTATTATGTTGTTTCATTGTTATATACAGTATATATATGCAGCTCCTACACTTCATGTATCACTCTTGCTTGACAACGGTACAAGAATCTGTATCGAAACGTCGCACTCACGAAAATAAAGAAGTTGTTATCCATAAATTTGTTATATATTGTACGTCCTAACTTCTAAAATGCCACTCAAACAAGTTAAGGTTAATATTCATTATTTCATCCCCCTTCTAATGTACTAGGTGCTCGTTGTATACCTTGGTAACATAAAACATAAACAACCAAATTACAGTTTCCGATATTTGAACCTCAAATCTGAGGTTTCTCAACATTCGGGTTTCGGGATTTGAATCCCAAATCTGAATAATTTTTCAATATTCGGGATTCGAATACCGAATCTGAATATTTTTTGTCATATTTGGTATTTTTCCACATTCGAAATCCGGCATTCGGCATTCGTATTTGGTATTTGAATTCTTATTGTGCATTTCATTCAAACATTAAGTGAGCGAGTGAGTGAGTTTAGTTTTTACGCCACACTCAGCATTATGTCAGCTGTATAGCGGCGGTCTGTAAATAATCGAGTCTGGACCAGAAAATCCAGTGATCAACAGCATGAGCATCGATCTGCGTAATGAGGAACCGATAACATGTGTCAACCAAGCCAGCGATCCTGACCACCCGATCCCGTTAGTCGCCTCTTACGACAAGCATGGGTTACTGAAGGCCAATTCTAACTCGGACCTTCACGGGTATTAACACATTTGGAATTCGGAACTTCAGCGTCCTTGTAACTATACTCTTTACACCTTCATCTGTCAAACCTATCTGTCGTCGACGTTGCCGTGCACCCTCGTAGGTTGTCGAACGGCCCCAAGCTCTTCCCAGCTTGTATGGGTGTGAAATCATGCATCAATAACTAGCTGAGGTCAAAGGGTCAATTAAGCAAGGTATTTTTGTTTTGTAATACTGGTAATTGTATTAAACATTCCTCCTTACTGATTATGGAGTGTGAATGTAAGACGTTTATCCATTCTACAAGGCCAACTATTGGCTTTGCTGATCAGCAAATTTGAGATTGACTCATTTTAGAACTGAGCTCATCTAGAAACAGTGTATAACAACATCCGCTCCTCAGAAAGGTTCATATCCAAAATGAAGTCTGAGAGAGAGTCTCAGACGTCACCTGTATGAATTGTACAACACCAACAAGCGAGTATTGATTCCAAGACATGAATATCAAAAGACCATAAGTGAATTGCTGGTGGTAGAGACAATATGTTTAAAGAAATTACCAAGAACGTGCACAAGTCGATTTGATTGACATGCAGTCCATGTGTCAAGGTCAATTCAAATGGATTATGCATTATCAGCACTATCTCATTATAAGTAACGTTGAAAAACTTTCAGATTTAAAAGTGAATTGTGAGCGGAGAGAGTGTTGGGTTTTAAACCGCTGTTGGCAATATACCCGAATTATTACGGTGTTTGACATCAGAAACGAGCTTTCCACATTGTACCAATGTGCGGAATCGAACACAAGCCTTTAACCACTATCCCACAACCCTAAAGAGCTTAGCAAAGACTTTAATTCAGTTTGAATGGAATTTGGTCTTAATATACTGAGTCAAAAAAGAAACTTCACAAAATGTAATTTGAAAAATAATGAATAATTTTTTTCTGATGATACATCTATGTATCCGAAATGGGATCCCTATCTTTCGACTCTAGAAAAACGTTAGCAAAACCCACTCAAACCCATCCATTCATCGTGCAAATGACGTTAGTGCCAAATCAGGTTTTGCACGTGCAGTCGATCACGTGATCTTCGCATCGAAGTTTTCTTCATATGCACGTGTTTGCATTGGCCTCAAGAATTGAAAAAAACACCTTTAAACCACAGTTCTAACGGTACTTGAAATGCCACAATTGTCAAATGTGCAACGTGAACGTGCCGTTGGCATGTTGCAAGCGGGAAGATCAGTTATTGACGTCGCAAGAGCAATGGGATGCAGCCGTCGTACTGTGTATGACTTGCGAGGTCGTCTACAACAAACTAGCACCACTTCTGATCGCCCAAGGTCGGGTCGTCCACGTGTGACGTCACGAGCAGAAGACCGTCAAATCACCCTACGTCACCTACGTGACAGATTTCTGCTGGCTACACGAACCAGGGCTGAGATGTTTAGAGGTCGACTGTCCTCACAGACCATTCGAAATCGGTTGCGGGTTGCCAATCTCCATTCTCGACGTCCATATCGGGGCCAATATTGACGCCGTTTCATCAACGTCAACGTCTGCTGTGGGCCCAACGTCACCTCCGATGGACCCAGAGAGACTGGAATTGAGTCGTCTTTAGCGATGAATCCAGGTTTACCCTCAGATTCGCGGACGGCAGGCATAGAGTCTGGAGACGACGTCGTGAACGGTATGCCCAATGTTGTGTACAGGAAGTCGACAGATTCGGGGGCGGAAGTTGCATGGTGTGGGGTGCTTTCTGTGGGAACAACCGTTCCTGACTTCTGGTCATCCGTGGAAACCTCACAGCTGCTGCTTACCGCGACCAGGTGCTCACCCCTGAACTCGTTCCTTTCATGGCGGCTCATGGCCCAGGTCTACAGTTCCAGCATGATAATGCTCGGCCGCATACCGCGACGTTGACACGAAATGCTGGAATCAACGTCGTGGACTGGCCATCGAGGTCCCCTGACGTTAATCCAATGGAGCACGTTTGGGATGCTCTTGGGAGAAGGCTTCGTGGTCTTAGGAACCAACCTCAGAATTTGCAGGAACTTGGCGCTGCCTTGCAAGAGCAATGGCGCAGAATCCCCAACCACGTGTTCACAAGCATCAGGCAGTCGATGAGGAGACGGTGTTTGGCAGTGGTGAATGCGCGGGGCGGCCATACACGATATTGAACTGAGAAATTTCGCATTTTTATTCTTGTGACTTGACATTCTGTATACCCATGTTTTGGAACGGCGATGTCGCCTAATGGAACTTATTATGGCACTGCCAGTGTATCGAGTACATCACACAGATCTCAGCAATGACATAATAACAATTTAACCATCTTACCATCTCTTGTTCTTTTATAATGCCCTGAAGAAAGAATGTGAAGTTTATTTTTATATGTGTGTTGAGACCGTCGACCTCCAAGAAGTCGCCTATCAGTTGGTTGACATCTTGCAGAGAGACAATGGTTCAGAATTTCCTGCTGCTGTCATTGAGGAGGTTTCACAGATGTGGCCTAGCACCAAGATCATATATACATGGTAAACCACGTCACCCCCAATCCTAAGGTTCGTTGAGCCTGCCAACTGTGATGTGAAGGACATGTTAACAGCCTGGATGTCTGACAACAATACCACTGCTTGGACCATGGGACCCAAGTTTGTTCAGTTCCAGCTACCATAGCGGAATCAAGCAAACACGATTTGCTGCGTGTACTGGATCAGATGCACCAACCGGAATAAATTCCTTCAAGCTCCCAGAGGAGGTGACTGCACGCTGAAGACGGAAAAAGATCTCACCAGTGCCATAATCACCATGACACCTCCTTCAGACCAGCCAGCACCAGATGCGCCACCAATTACTGTAGCTGGTCCAGATCCCTCAGCAGAAGCAGCCATGTCAGATCCAGATCCACAAGATCTACCTGCTGAAGCAGCCGTTATAGATCCACCAGCTGTAGCCGCCGTTCCAGATCCGCCATCAGCAGCAGCACTCCTTGTTGCAAAGAGACGTCAGCAGATCAGCATCCAGAGGAAGAGGGCATTAGACTCTCAGTTGCAAAAAGCCGAGAGAATGGTGAAAAGAAGTAATGTTGTTCTGTCAGAAGTTCACGTTGGTGACAACATTACAGTTCCAATCCCATCCGTGGACAGAGGCAGAGCGCAATAGTGCAGTGGTAAGGCGTCAGCCTAAAACGCTGAAGGCCCGGGTTCAATTCCCGTTGGAGGCACCTATGTTCGGATCCCGAGGTGGGCACATTTGCGTAGTATCCTTGGACAAGATACTTATATCCATATTGTCTCACTTCACCCAGCTGTAAAATGGGTACCCGTGTGGGTGTCAGACATGGGTTCAATTACTTTGAAATGTAATTAATTAAATTACAATTACTTTGAGTTTCCTCAATTACAATTACAATTACACATTAAATCAAAATGTAATTAATTAAATTACAATTACATTACCAATGTAATTATTTACATTACAAATTACTTTTTGAAAAAACACACAACTAAACAGATATATTTCGGTATTCTTTAATCTCTTTAAACAAGATATAGATGTTTGTAAGCTGAGTGGTCACTAAATCCAATTCACACTTTTGTCACCAAAAAGTGAAATGCAAAATTAGGGATGTTTCTCTCATATTTCGTGAGGACTTGAGGCATGTACTTTTCTAGTTTCTCCTCTGGGACATCCAGGGTGGATTTTATCATCCGTAACTGTGAATTCCATCTTGTCTATGTTGAATTATGGAGTTTTCCTTCATCTGCAAGGATCTCAGAGGCAAGAATTGATCTCCTCACATGGGACACAATATTAGATGCCTTGGCAATGATTTTGTTGATCTGCCCTCCTTCTCCGAATCCATCGTGTACAGTCAGCTGTAAGGTATGGGCGAAGCAGCTCTGATGCTCTGGAATGTAGTCATAAGCATCTGATGTGTCCACCTTGTCTTCTGACATGCTTTCTTCTTAACTGTCGCTCTCATCTTCCTCCTGGGCCCAGTTCCTCAATGCGATCGTAGCGCTAAGATGATCGTACCTCGCATACTTTAGCATAGACTTACGACTGTCGTAGCCATACGATCGCTTTGAGGAACGGGGCCCTGGTCTCTTTCATCTGGACTTCCTTCCACAAAACCTGGCAGGTCGACTCTGAAGGCTTTCTTCATGTTGCTAGCATTGTCCGTTACAATGTTTGTGATCTTACTGCTTAGGTTGAAGGTAGCAATTGTTTCTTCATAATGCTGTAGGATATTCTCAGCTGTGTGTCGACCTGTAAACTGCTTACACCCGAGTGTGACTGACTCCAAGTGCCAGTAACTGATGTAGTGTCCAGTTATTCCTATGTATCCTCTCATTTGTCGACTTGACCACAGATCAATTGTCACACACACACTCTCAGTTTTCTCAAAGTCCTGTTTCATGGCTAGAATTATTTCTTCACATTTCTTAGTGATGAGACTTGAAGTTAAATGTTTCCGAGATGGAATGACAAACCTTGGTCCCATGCAGTGGAGGAGGTCTCGAAAGTAGGAGTTTTCTACAATGGACAATGGCATGAGAGATCGAGCAATGAACATCGTGATACTGTCTGTGATCTTCTGTTGTCGGCTGTCACTTGAAGAAAACTTCTTCTTTTCTGTCTCCACGAAGGTATCCAAGCTGGGTTGTTCATCAGTCAGCTTCCTCTTCTTGTCCTTCAGGCCAGTCAGGACATGTGCATGCCGTCTCTGAAACACATCATTATCAGAAACATGAGTAACAGCATGAAGTAACATTGCAAAATGCTTAAGTTGAAATATTAGATTATATCTACAATGTACACTATTTGACCAGGTTTTTGTTTTGCATAATTCTTTGGGCTTAATATCAAATACACACCTCTGTCATCACTTGTTGCAGGTATACTGTATCATGACTCATCAGTACAGGCCTACATTACAATATAAAATATGCCATAGTACAGTGAATCCCCCATTTCCTCAAATACTAACCTACATTCAGTCATGCGTTACTGATTCCCTTTGTTTCACAAATGTGCAGATTGTGATAGTTACTTGCCATTCACATGGCTTGAGTTAACAGCAGTTGTTTTATATCTAAATATTGATCAGGAATTTATTTCAGACAAGTTTGAACCAAGTAAAATCTAGCTATTTGACTGATGTTTAATATTTGTTATTGCCTTTTGCATACATTTCTCATGTAAATGATGGAAGAAGTGTTTATTAGAACATTTTAGATTTATACAAATTGCACATGAATTGTGAAATTAAAATAATTGCAAAGCACTTACCTGCAGATGAGTCAGGAAGTTGGAAGTAGCTTTAAGGGATCCAGATATGAAGAACCACATGTCTTGCACTTGGCTTTAAAAGTCTGAGAAGGGATGCCATCAACAGGAAATTCAAAAGCCTCCCTAACTACACTCTGTTTACTTGACATGGTAAACTGTTTAAAGGGAAACTCAACTCTGTGACAAACCACCAGCAGAAACTATAATGATGTTTAACTAATAGAATTAGTGTAGCAAATGCCTGTGATCCAGGCTTGGAATATAACAGGGTCATTTGTGTGACAATATAACAAAAGGTGTTTATCTAATGTTCAAAGCCAGTGCGGATACCTCGGTATACAATGTCTTGTTCTAAAACTTCAAAGGCTTAGACATTCAAATCTCTTTAAAAACTTAACACCTGCTAGAGTATATACTGGCAACAAGCATCTAATCAAAACACTAATTTATCTTCCTTATGGTACAGAATATAATTGCATAGGTTGCATGATGACCACCAAAATAAGAAAAAGTGAAATGTAATTTGATGTCATTGAAAAAGTAATTGAAAACTTCAATTACTTTGAGATATTTATTAATTAAATTACAATTACAAATTACATTTTGAACATTCAATTACATGCAATTACATAGATTTTTGTAATTAATTACATTCAATTACAATTACAAATTACAATTACCCCATGTCTGGTGGGTGTGCTGGCAATGTGAATGTTTAGTTCATTGCGCCTAACAGGCAGCATGGCTGTATGTTCCCCAGGAGTTGAAAGAGTATCGGAAAGTACGACAGTGTCCTATGACCGGGGATAGGAATGTACGTAGCGCCGTGAGCAGGCAATATGCCTGGATATGAGCGCCATATAAGCGGACTATTACTATTACTATTAGAGCTGATCCCATTAATGACAGCCGCATATACACAACTGCTGTCAAAGCTGGCGTTTTATCTGGAAGATATTATCGTAATTTCAATTTGATGTGTGCGCCACAGCTCCGAACACCTTAGAGGATATGTCTACTGAAAAACTGGCCTCCTTACGCTTAGCAGTCCAGTTTTGGTCAGCCTGTGGGGGACAAGGCTTTGTTAAGTGCAATTGTACTGGAGTCAAGAGGTGCCACACAAATAGATGCAAAATGCTACAAGGCTGGTGTAAAATGTAATTCAAGGTGCCACTCATCACTGTCTTGTCAAAATAAAAACTGAATTGATGTTCATCAATTTTTTCCTTATGGAAACATGTACATCTATTATGTTGAATAAAGATATCATTGTAGCAAAGAAATGTGTCTATCCTGCTTAATACAAAAGTCTAATTTCACATCTTTTTGGAAGAAATATACCTCAAACTACCCAAGTAGTCATTTCAGGGAATATGTCTAAAATTCTAGTACACTTTTCAGTGATAATGTATAATCCCCTGCAAAGTTCAGTGATTATGTATACTATTCAGCAAAAGAAACGTCATTTTGGAATTTTCCTTCGCAGAAACGGTCACTGTGAACTCATTTAATGTTTTGATTGTATATTTTTGACAACATCTCCAACTTTACCTGAGCAAAGACATTCCTTCCCAAACTCAGAATGGAACCCAGGAACGTCAGCAGGATGCCGCGACTCACGACAGCTCAGAGGAACCAGGCGCTAGGAAGACTTGAAGCTGGCCACACTGCACAAGCCGTTGCCAGTCACTTCCAGGTCAATGTTCGGACCATCTACAGGCTGCAGCAACGTTTCCGGGCCACCAACACCACAAATGTTGCTCGACAGCATGTACAGAATCCCTTCATGCAGGCATCCGAAACAGCACGCCAGACAGGGGGAACACACGGAAGACCAATCAGTACTGATACAGTACGTCGAAGTCTTAACAGTGCGAACCTCCATTGCCGTAGACCTTACCGTGGAACTATTCTCAACCCTCGTCATCGGCGTGAACGCCAACAGTTTACCCTAAAACACCAAAACTGGCGATACAGGCAATGGAGAACTGTTCTGTTGACAGATGAGAGTCGGTACAGCGTATCACCTGCAGATGGCAGAACAAGAATATGGCGACGGCGTGGCCAGCGTTACTCAGACCAATGTGTTATGGAAAGAGACTCATGGGGAGGTGCAAGCATCATGGTATGGGGTGAAATAGGCCTGAAGCAGAGAGTGGGTCCTGTTGTGTCCCAGAACTTTGGTACAGGGAGAGGAGGCGGCATCACAGCGGTGCGCTTCATCGACCAAGCTCTCAGACCCCACGTCATACCACATTTCGCACGTCATCGGAACAACATTTTCCGCATGAGGACGCCCGGGCCCATACTGCCAGTGCTACACGGGACTTCTTACAGCAGAACGGTGTCAACATTATGCAGTGGCCAGCCCTTAGTCCTGATTTAAACCCAATTGAACATCTTTGGGATGGAATTCAGGGGAGACTGAATAATGCCATACCAAGGCCGAACACAGCCGATTTATTGCGCCAGGATTTTCTCAGAGTGTGGTTCCAGGTGCCAATGGCCTTCATCAATCGATTGGTGCACTCCATGCATAGACGCTGTGCTGCCGTTAATGCCGCTTGTGGTGGTCACACTAAATACTGAAGTCAAGGGTCTGAATGGACAGGGGCGGTGGGGTAGCCTAATGGTTAAAGCGTTGGCTCGTCACGTCGAAGACCCGGGTTCGAATCCCCACATGGGTACAATGTGTGAAGCCCATTTCTGGTGTTCCCCGCCGTGATGTTGCTGAAATATTGCTAAAAGCGGCGTAAAACCAAAACTCAGTCAGTCAGCTGAATGGACAGCAAACGTTGACGTAATGTCTTGGCATTGTGCTGAGTTATTTTATCGATGTGTCAGGATATTGTACACAAAAAATGTGTTTGATCCGCTTATTATGTCCATTTCTGTAATGATCTGATTACAGTGCCTATCTAATTTTGAATTCGTACTGATGTATTTTTGCTGCTGAGTATATAATCACTGAGTGAGTCAGACATTATACATAATCACTGAAATTTACAGGTATTATACATAATCCCTGTTATTACACATTCGCCGCTGCAACATATATATATTACAGGAAATGTATAAACAGTAAATAATTTCAGTAATTATGTATAATGTCTGATTCACTCAGGAATTATGTATATTTGCTGACAATTTCTGTAATTATACATAATTCCTGAAATTGAAGATACAAAATTATACAAATTTGCTGAAATCATTTGAATTACTGAAACATTGATATTACAGGTCAGTCAGGTTTTCATAGATATGTCTTCATTTTTAGGAACAAGGTACAGCACGTTGATTTTCAAGAGTTTGTATTTCATTGTGTTCATGAATTTTTACTTGAACTTTCTAAACTACTCGAAAGCTCACAGTTAGTTGGGACTGATGTTTGGAAACTGAATATTTGGTTGTGGCAAATCTGAAAGAAATTCAGATTCGGGATTCGGGATTCAAATCCCCGAAACCCGAATGTTAAAAAGCTCAGATTTGAGGTTTAAATATCGAAAACTGTAGTTTGGTTGTTTATGTTTTTAAGTTACCCAGGTATACAACGAGCAACTAGTACATTAGAAGGGGGATGAAATAATGAATATTGACCGTGTTCGTCTTTGATCGGTCCTGATCGAGGGTTGACGCCTGCAAGCAGGAAAGAGCTTCTGGACCGTTGACTATCTGCACGGCAGCGTCGACAATAGATAGGTTTGACAGATGAAGGTGCAAAAAGTATAGTTACAAGGACGCTGAAGTTCCGAATTCCAAATGTGTTAATACCCGTGAAGGTCCGGGTTAGAATTGGCCTTCAGTAACCCATGCTTGTCGTAAGAGGCGACTTACGGGATCGGGTGGTCAGGATCGCTGGCTTGGTTGACACATGTTATCGGTTCCCCATTACGCAGATCGATGCTCATGCTGTTGATCACTGGGTTGTCTGGTCCAGACTCGATTATTTACAGACCGCCGCCATACAGCTGGCATATTGCTTAGTGCGGCGTAAAACTCAACTCACTCACTCGCTCACCAAATGTTTTAATGAAATGCATAATAAGAGTTCAAATACCAAATACGAATGCCGAATGCCGAGTGCCGAATTTGCAAAAGAAAGACAAACGAATATGAAAATAATTCAGATTCGGTATACGAATCCCGAATACGAAAAATTCAGATTCGGGATTGGAATCCCGAATGTGAAAAGAAAACTTCTAACTTCATGTTCCCGAAATCTGTATCTATTGCGACTGTATGGTGTGTAAGAAACAAATTACTGCACTCGTGTCTATCAGATATCTGTGTAACTGTCATTTTGTTTAAAATATCTATACATGCAGGAGACTGCCAAGTCGAAACACACATTGCCGAAATCAGGCAATCTTACTTTACGAATACACGGAAGAAAAACAAGACAACATTCATTTACCACTCAGCTGTGTATGAAAAACACCTGAAACATATTTTTTTTAAACATTCAATATTGTAAATCGTACATAGCCCATTTCAAATCAAAATGTGAATTAGATGATATTTTTGAAAAACAGAGTGTCACATTTGTTAATCATTCTTGAAGGCAAAACATGTTTCATCTTACATTTGTTCATTAAATATTCTAAACATTAAACAAATAAACTATTCCCTTTACAAATAAATGATAAGTTCGAAACTGAGATTCAAATGAATCTGATTACATTCTCCTGTCAACCATACCATAAATTGTGACTTCCGTGTTTATGAAGCTGAAACTCAGCAATGAGGAATACAATATGGTATGCCCAAAATATTTATACATGCTTGAAAACATAAAACATGGCTTTGGCGAGTATTTCATGTATTTCAGAGTTTGAGAAGCAGCCTAACCGAATATTGTTTCTGACGCAAAGTTTCTCAAAAGTGAACTCTTTTGCAAGAATTTCGCTCGCGGGTTACAAGATTTTATTTCGGCTATACAGTTACACAGATATGTGCACTATATATTTAATTCTGATTCGATTGTGTAAATTCAAGTGCCAATTACTTTGGCGGCTTGAAAAAAGACAAGTGAAGTCCGAAACTTTGCTTCAGTAAATAAC